TGGAATCCTGCAACTGGAGTTGACTATGAACATGGAACAAAGTCTTGGCTATCTTCAAGATCATATTCCAAATCTGACTGAAGATGAAGCAGAGGAGAACATGTTCTTGGATACCTAAAGGCAGGCATGCTTTGCAAGGGTGAAGAGTGAACTTTTCAGAAAGTGATTTTAGTGAAAAACCAGACTCTTCAAGATGATTTCCTGCCAAAGATGCTTCCCATTGTAACAGAATATCTTCTGATTTTTTTGTAATTTCTGTTGTAATGTCTGTATCTTTAGCAATATCATCAAACAGATCAGCAGAAGCATTGTAGCTACCTTCATAACCAGGAGAGCTTTGTGTTAAATTATTATCTGTATGCCCATATGATGTTTCTTTTGATGTATTTGTACTTTATCTGGACTACTGCAAAGAGTTTCTAAAGGATATATAAGTTTCCTACAAATTGTAAAACTGTCACGTTGGTTCTTTGGCCACATATAATGTTTGTTTTCTAATTTGCAAAGACCAGAAACATTGTTGTATGTCTTAGAACACAAAGTTGTTAACCTCTTGTTCACTTCTGTAAGTGGCTGTTTTCCATGACCATCAAAATATTTGATACTAAAAATGGTCATTCTCTGAAGTACTGGGGGTACGTGAAATTTTATCTCTATGTTGTAGAATTTTGATAAGTCTGCTTTATAGTAACAGTTGTTTCTAAATCTTTGGAAGATGGAAACAGAGCTGACAGACAAGTGTTTCGGAGAGAATATTCTGAAACACCACTTCCATTACTGTTTGCAGAGACAGCCTCTGTTCTATTACTGCATATGGACACAGCATCTGCTGTGTTATCTGGTTGTGACTCCTGAATACTAGGACTTTGATTTGCTTCACAGTTGGAAAAGAAGTTACTTTTGCTAGAGTTTGCTTTGTCTGTGGCTTGTGATTATGTTAAAGTTACAGGTGGTGTATATAGTGTTCCACTTCTCCAGGGGGACACAGATAACCTGGTGTAGTAGTCTGCATGGAATTTATCAATGTCATTATCTATATTATGTTTCTTATTCCTGGTATTTCTTGGGGTTTTAGCAATCTCACTTTCAACAATTGCCAGAAACTTGTCCAGGCTTACAGATAATGGAAGATCATCCCAAACCACAGGGTCAAAATCCTGGTAACTGTTGGTTACCTCTTCAGGTCTGAGTGATGTAGGTAAACAACAGGTAAATGTCTCTTGATGGCTAGTGGTGTTGTCTACATCACAATGCTGGTAACATAGTAGCTTATCCTGGGAATGCTCATTTTTAATTCCTACTGCATTGTGGAAGCATTCTACACTACTTGACTCAAGGGGCTCTTGCATTTTCAAAGGGAATAAATTAGATGTAGTAATTCTAGTTTCATGATGACTGCTGTGAATTACACTCAGTTGATTAGCTTGTAAGCCAAGTCCTTCACCCAAGTTTTTTGTTGTACTTTTTTTGTCCATATACGAAACAAGGCTCCACAAACCCTGAATGGAATCATGGCAATCACTGGAACCAGTGGCCTTTGCAAAGGACATACACTTTCTGTTTTGGTGAAGAGTAGCAATGGCCATGCTTTTTTCTGAAGCTGAAACATCATTGTTATCTGTTAGTTGTGAAACAGTAGAGGTGAGTTCAAGTGGTAGGTGCCAGAATCTTGAAATATTATCTGTACTATGAGACTCCAAAAAATAGGAAGTTCTATCAGAACCATGTATGCTGGTGAGATCACCATTTGAGTGAACTAAAGAAAATAACTGGCTGTTAGGTTCCTGGGAGTTACAGTCTAGTTTCCTCAAATTGGAAGTCTGCAAAAGCTGATGGAAATAGCCAATGACAGTGAAGCCTGCAACACCTGGGTCTGGCAGAATAATCTGGCAAGCTACTAGTGCTATGATTTCTGTTCTTATGTCACGACACCTTTGTAAGAAGTTACTGGAATCTGAACCATGTCCATATTGGTTTTCAAAATTTGTCACTCCAAAAATAAAGCTTTTCCCAACAAAGCAAATTTCAACTGCTTTGGTTAACAGGTCCTGTGTCGTATCACTGTCCAGTGTTTCTGGAATTTTATTAGGATCCTGAATGTACCTGTGCAAATCAGTGGCAGTAAGACAAAAAAAATGCATCTAAGCAGCTTCCAAATACTGTAATGACAAATAATTTGTTTGATTCTGCAACTTTTAAGGAAAGTTTATATCTGTAACTTGTATTTTCTGCTTCGCCAGTAGAGCCACATTTTGGACAATTAGATCTTTTGAAGCCAAGGATTACCGGAGAGAAGCACTTTTGACATGACGGGTATATAAAACTCAAATTCTGGAAAGCAAGTACTGAGGCAAGAAAAAATTTTCTTTTTCTAGTCATGTGTTTACACTGGGACCAAACTTGTCCCAAGAAGAGCCTCCACGGAAAACTACAGCACGGGTGAATGAGGCAGCACTGCAGAAGATCTGTGTACTTGAAAATGAACTTGCTGCTCTCAGAGCTCAGATTGCTAAAATTGTGACCTATTCAGTGATGGAACAGCTGGTATAACTGAAGTTGTTGAAATGAAAAATTTGAGATTGAATCTTCTTGCCTTGAATAGAACTTACATATTGGATTTCTTCCCATGTTTTGGAGGTGGATTTTGCAAAGGAACTGGATGATGTTCACTGCTAAGATTCTATAATGCTTTCCATTAGAGCAAAATTGAGGACAAGGAAGGCTTGCATGCACATCACTGCCATCCAGTGCTGTAATCCCAGCACTCAGCAGGCTGAGGCAGGAGGACTGCTAAAAGTTTAGGACCAGCCTGGGGTACATAGTAAGTGCAAGGACAGGCCAGCTTGAACTATATAATGAGACTGTGTCTTTGGCAAAGGCGTAGGGGTCTCCTCAGGTAATGCTCAAGTGAGTCCTCATTAATTATTAATAAAACCTCAAATCACTACCATTGCCATCCAAACACAAACACTGCCTATCTCAGTAGTAGATCCACAACCACTCAGACATGTACCCTGGAACCTTGAGGTCATCCCTGAAACCTCCCATTCCTCAGTTTCCATTATATAGCCCACCTGTTACTGGTTCCCCTGTGAGAATTCTCATATACCCTGTCTCCACAGCTACTGTCACCTGCCTAGTTGTAAAGCTATTACCGAACAGCCTCCAAACTGATTTGCCCACAAGTAGTCTTGTCTCTCTCAATCTGTGCATGACATGGCAGCACAGATATCATAGAGTAATATTTATACATATAAATGTACCATCACTCTCCTTCTTACAGTTGTTCCATCCTTAGGATTGGAGTAAAATATTATGGACCACTTATAAAGCTGTATGAATGGGCTCTGCCTGCATGGTCCTCTGTTCTCTAAATATATGAGATCTTTCTTCTTATATAACTGAATTTTTCTCTCCCTTGAGGCCTTTATTCATACCCCTTCTGTTCCCTCTTCTGGAATATTTGGAAGATTTCTTCCTTCCTAACATATTCCTACTACCTACTACTTATTTCTTTTTCATCATTAACGTCTCAGCTTATCCAAGGCTTCTGCAGAAGGCATCTCTGGATCCTCTGGACAAAGACCATTAATCACACTCTTGCAGAGCGTCCTGCACTTTTGGATCACAATCCTAAGTGCATTTGTAATTACTTTAGTGTCCGTTTCTACAAAAGATAATAAGGGACATTAAGTGCAAAGATCCTTTTCTCTTTTGTTTACAATTGCAATTTCTCAATGTTACTCAATACCATTCTTATCATATGTGGGCCAATCACAAGAGTGATAAATATTTGCTGAGTTAATGAACACAAATGGCTCTGATTTAATTCTTCACATGAAAATTATTCACAATTAGTGGAAAAATCAAATAAAACTCTAATTCACAACAGTGTGTGACTACTTATTATAGGAAATAAGTATAAGGACTACTGGATCCTATGAGAGAGAAAGAAAATCAGTTTTGGAAGGCCTATATGAAGAAGGCTTCTTTTTGATGCTGCAACATGAAATAAACCATGGAGAGCAGGCAAGATTTTTAAAAGTGAAGGATGAGAAATGTTCCAGGGAATGTTTGGAAAAAGACATGGATAGAGTAAGGTATAAACAGAGACTGATAAACAGATAACTATGCCTAGTGGTAGGTAATACTGACATGTATGTCCAACTTGTGTTTCACTATTAAACTATTTGTCAATAACCATTGAAAGTTTTATCACTGGAAGAATGGCATGATTAGAGATGGTAAAATTTTACTAAGAGACTACAATGAGGATGTCGGGACCAACTAGTAAGCTATTGTAGTATTCCAGCCAGAAGGAGGAAAGGAACAGAAATAATTTTGCCGCATAATGAACAGCATTGCTAGAATGGGAGAAAGGATAATTGAAATTGAAAACAGAGAAAACATAGGACATAATGAATTCTGGTACTAAACCTTAAATTTCCTATGCTTACATGATTTTGAACAAGTGGACAAAAAGCATAAGAAAGAGGTTGGAAATAATCTAATTATTAGGCTCAGGGAAAATTTAATTCGTTCATAAATAGTTGAACAATAATGCAAAGGCTTTGTGACAGTTTTAAAAATTTTCCAACAAAACATTTTTATTTATAACAAAAAAGAACAATAAATGTTCTCTCATAATTACTGACTGGATTTTCAATATACCTTGTGCCTAGTTTTTATTTTACTTAGATATTAGGAACAAACTTTCTCACAATATCATCATAATATAACCCTGTCTTCAAAAGGATATCCTACAGTTGTTGGGATTGAAGGAATTTTAAGATGTATACTTTTTCCCTACTCAGTAGAAGAATAAGATCGTCTATGGTTAAAAGAATTCCAGTCTTCCAATAGGCACTGTGTAAAAACATTAAAATGACATACAGGGTATTTTCAAAGGTCATTCTCATTTCAAAAATGTTAATATCTGAAATTACATCATCTTTAATTATCAGGAAAATATCTGAAAAGTAATAAAAAGTAACACTTACTTTTGCTGCACCTATCTGTTCTTTTCGAAATTTCTCAAGTGGTGCAATTAATACATCATTAGCATTTTGAATCTGAAATTAAAATGCACATATATTAAGTTCTGTATAATTTCATGCCAACAAAATGGCTATTTTATTCAAGTTACTGAATACAATTTTTGGTTTTTTTGTCTGTTTCTATAAAAAAAATCTTACATGTTGTGTAGCAATTTTCTACTTTACAATTAAGCTATTTTCACATGCTATTTCACTTGATCCTAACAATAATGTGAATAATTTGAACATAAGTACTTATTCTGGCGAAACTGTAATGAAAATGTTTAAAGTTCTCCTCCTCAGATTTAACTAAGAAACAGTAAATTGGGTATGAAGTTTAAAAATACCTTTAATTACACTGGTTTAATGTAACCAGTTTGAGCATCATGTTGCAATTGAACCACTCTTTCATTTTGCCACTAAAATGCTAGAGCTCCACAGCTGCAAAATAAAATAGGCTCATTTTTTCCTAATTAGATTTCTTACACTTAGGATTTGCGTGAATATTCTCATATTTCCAGCCTGAATAAAAAAGTATCTGATTTCATTTCAATGAAAAACACTCTAGCCCACATTTCAAATTGTATTGCTTAAACTTTAAAACTGATACATCTTTAAATATTAACCTATAAGAATGCTCTCATTGTTTTGTGGTTTTTTTTGGTACCGGGGATCGAACTCGGGTCCTTGCGCAGCAGGCGGCGAAACCACTGAGCTAAATCCCTGGCCCTATAAGAATACTCTCAAAGGGTGCAAGATGTGAGTACCGGGAACTAGATACAAGGACATACATATTTTAAAGAATTATATTTTGCTAACAGCAAATCTTGATTTTAAAAAAAGCACCATATTTAGACAGAAAAAGTGAATTTGTTCCAATACAGTGATAATTGAATATTAACTATTATATAATGAGCAAATCCTAAGTTGAAAAGAAAAACTATTTTAATAACATTATCCTATTTAAAACAGGTTAAAATATATATATAGAAGTTTTTGGAATATTCTTACAACTTTTCTGCAAGTTTGAGATCAAGTAACCTCTATAGGCTTGAAATCATACCACGTAAAAAAGTCTTCACTTTTACTTATTTTTACTACTGTTGTTTGTCTCTAATCAAACTTTATTTCTTAAATTCCATAATGTAAATGTACAGATACAACATACACAAAAACAAAAACTAAAATGTTGATGCCACCTCCTATGAGCCTGGCATTCTCATAGTTGCAGAAAAAAGGTTATTACAGACTTGCAAAAAGTGAAGGTATGTAGAGTAAATCAACAAATTCTTCTCAAAAACACTGAGGACCAACTGTAGGTACTTTTAATGCCCATCATTTAATTCGCACTTGCAAGCTGATCCAGGCATGCCTTCAGATACACTGTGCAAAAATGTAGAGAATTACAAAGGAGCTCAGTTTTAATTCTCAGTTTCTAAAACTTCTTGTTCTCATAAGGCCCAAATACACACACACAGGTACACACACACACGCACACACACACACACATGTACACATGCAAGCAAACATGCACACACGCGCGCACACAGATTTTACAGAGGTAAGGAATAGCTGACTCAGTCTTTAAAGATAAGATGGCATTGGGGCAAGATAGTATCATGAACACTTTAGTGTAATTTGGAGGAATACCAATAACAAACGCTACCATTTATTCAGGCACTTGATGCCTGAAACTGCAATAGGGACTTCACAAGCATGATCCAATGTATTTAAAATTAGTGACCTTAAATGGAGGTATTTTGCAAGTGGTGAAAACTCAACAGTAATGAGACCAAACAAGACAGGCAGAACAGTGCTTAAGTACAGTTATATAAAATTGAGAAGACCTGGGTTTAAATTGGTTCCGTTGCTTAGAAGATGTCATTAAACCATTAAGGACATCAGCTACACCATTTGCCTAACTAGGTTTTCAGGATTTAAAAAATAATGAATGTAAAACACTTAGTTCAGTGGCTTCCATACTAACTACGCAAAAATGGCAGCTTTTTAAATTTCCAAATATGTAGATTATACATTCCATGTGGTATTTACCTACTTAAATTACATCTATACCAGGGTCTACTGTATTGCCCTTTTGGGTTAGGTATATCTGTCTTAGTTACTTTTCTCGTTGCTGAGACAAAATCTCCAAGTTAAATGGGAAAGAGTTTGTCTGGCTCACAGTTTGTAGAGGTTTCAGTCCATAATCTGCTGGCTTCAAGGACAGGTGGCAGAGGGGCTACAGTTCATGGAGGCAGAAGACAGCAGAAGCAACAAAGGACCTTAACATCTTCTCTGCCTCTTTTACCTTATTCAGAGCACTTAGTGCAGGTACCACTCACACCCTTAGTCCTAGTGCTCTTGGGCCTAGCGTTGCACCACAAATCACACACTCTAGATTCAGCCACCTCCAGTAGAGCCCCACCTCCTTTGCATGAGGCTTTGGGGGACATCTGAACACAAGTTATAACAGTATCTATATGCACAGCATTGGGAAAATATTTTCTCATTAAAAACCTGAAAGACAGATGGCCTGGGATCTCCCACATCCTAGCACTAGGGGTGTTTATATATGTGTCAACCACAGTGCTGAGATCTGTGGGAGACAGGTAAATAAAAGTGAGAGCTAAACTTTCCAGAAGGTTAAAGTCTACTTGAAGTGGGAAAAATAAATGTATTCACTCAACAATATTGGATGGTTGTAAAATATTGCTGAACAATTGTGTGGAAAAACTGAAAGATGAATCACACACTAATGAGAATAATTACATGATAAGCTATGCAGATACTTTAGAATACATTAGGATTTTGACAACAAGAAAGATCCATGAGAATTAAATGAGTCAAGCTAGTATTTGGTTAATATTAACTGTATTCACTGAAGAAAATAGAAATAGGGAACATCATAAATAAAGGCAAGGAGGTAGAAGCATGGCATATTAGAAGACAGAGCACAGTGTAGAACACTACAGTCTTAACATACTCAGTAAGAGTCAATCGTGAAGCTGAGTGTGCTGGCACATGCCTGTAATCCCAGCTCTCCCGGATTCTGAAACAGGAGGACTATTAAATAGGAGACCAGCCTGGGTGAGTTGGTGACTTAGTAATACCCTGTCTCAAAATAAAAACTCAAAAAAGGCTGATATTGTAACTCAGTGCAAATGCCTTGGGTTCAATCCACAACACCACAAAAAATAAAAAATAATGATAATCATGACTGTGAATTCACTCAGCAAATTAAATGCCTTCAATTTTATAAGACAGAAACAGTGAAATGAATGGTGAATGCCATCAAACAGTGCCTGGCCCATAGCAGATTCAATAGAAGTACTGTATGTTCTTGTTATTAACTAGTAGGAACATCATCTAACTGGAAAAGATTATACATTGTCATTAGCAGGAATCTCAGTTGAACTAAATTTTTTTAAAAAGGACAGATTACAGTGAATCCTCAAGTTATAAATGGCCTGACATAGGACCAACTTGGGTTAATTAGGTTAATGGAAGATTCATCTGCCTCTTGTTATCTATAGTGTGTACCCAGGTAAACATCCAGGTCTCAGCTGTACTGACTTAATTACAAACAGCCTTCAGGAACCCATCGAGTTTGTAAGTCAATGGTCCAGTGTATACCTATAATCCAGGCAAAGAACTGTATATATGGAATCACTGCTGGTTAAACAAAGATAATTTAAAAACTTTTCCTAGACATAACTGTAATCCCAGCTACTTGGGAGGCTGAGGCAGGAAGACAAAGTACAAGGCCAGTGTGAAAAATTCAGCAAAACTTCGTTGCAAACAAAAAAAAAGAAACTCTAGAGAAACTTTAGTCTTAATAAGGGATAAGAGATTAGGTATCTGGAACACTGACAGAGGGTAGCAGGGTTTTAAGAGACAGTTCTATGGGATATACAACAGGGCCTATGGACAGATTAAATAGTGGAGAAAAAGGAATCAAAGGTGATACTAAGGTTTCTGCTTCAGACACTGAAACTTGCTTGCCACATACACAACTAGGATAATGACAGTGTATTTTGTAGAGAAGAGAAACAATAATAATAAAAAGAATTTCATTTCAGATCTATTATTATCTGATATCCTAGCAAAACTCAAAGAAATATTGTGCCAGAAAATCCCATTCCACAATAGTAGAACTAATCAATATGAATGAAAGTTCTTTTTCGCTTTATTTTGTTTGCAGTACTAGGAATTGAACCCAGGTTCTCACAATTGCTAAGCCAGTCCTCAGACTCTTTTTTTTTCTCTTAAATTTTATTTTGAGAAAGGGCCTCACTAAGCTACACAGGCTAGCCTTGAGCCTGCAATTCTTTTGCCTCAGACTCGACAGTAGGTCAGATTACAGATGTGTCACCACTGTGACTAGTTTAAATATGAGTTTTTAAATTGGGAAGTCAGGGATTACAAAATACAGTAGATGGGAGAAGGACCCATATACTAAATCCTTGGCATTCACATTCATATTTCTGCTAGCCACTCTTGTATGGTTGTCATATAAATATGACTTTAAAATAAGGCAAAAATTGGAGGACATAAGAAAATGGAATAATTAAACACTCTATGGGAACAAGGACTAATTCCTACCTCTATTGCTTCCATATTTTCTGGGTATTTTGTTTTTGGATTTGCCCCTCAACCCCATTCACATTCTGCTAATATGAAACTGAAAGAATAAAAAATAAAATATGGCAAAAGTATTAAACAGAAAAAAAAACTGAGGAAAGGAGAAAAAACATCTAATAGGGTGATAAGGATAATAACACAAAGGAGTCATTGCATGTTACTTATGTGACAAATACTTTACTAAGCTCTTCAGAATACAGATACTAAAATTGATTTTATATGAGTAATGAAATAAAGAACATAAAAATCATCTGTAAAATATGAAGAACTGGAATGGTAAAGTTAGACAGACTCAGCCTCATTTGAATCTCAACACCAAAATTGATAATACTCAGAGTCTTCATTCCTAAATTTATTAAGGTGTTTATAGAAATTAAAGGAGAAACAAATATATT